GTTGGCAGTGGAAGTTGAATTGTGAGCTGAGGTATGGGGTTGGTTTTCATCTCCTCCTTCTGCATGATCAACAGGAGGGAATATGGTTGGGACCTAAGGTGGAAGCTGAGGTTGGATTTGAGGTGGGATTATAGGTGGAAGGTTGTTGGGTGGTTGACCTTGCCTATGAGGTAGAGATGAATTACCAGCTCGGACTGATCGAGTGTGAACCATGATGAAAGAGCAACTAGAAAGCTTTTAGTTCGATTCCCACAGACGGCGCCAATGTAATTGCACCAAACCAGAAGTCTTTCTTCAGTCCGCGCTTCCACTCCGAGATGACCTGCAAAGCCCCGAGGTGCAACTCGGGGTAGACACTCCGATGCTTAAGTCAGCAATAATCGGGGCTACCTTTAGGGCGAAGATAAAAAGAGCTTAGGGTTGGTTTCAATTACCTTTCTGAGGTGGCCCCTGGGGTATTTATAGGCCTTTGTGAGGTATCCACGTGGCTTGCTTAGCAGGACAATCGGAGCCTGACGTGTCTATCTAGACGATTATTTCGGGACCGGGAATTTGAGAGGTATTCAGATGCACGGATGTCCACCATACTTATTGTGCCACTCGTCATAAGGAATTAAGTGCGGGCATGCTTATTGTCATTGTCATGCAGCTATTTGAGCAGGGAGCTTTGGATTCATTTCTCACTTCGGTCATAAAGGAATTACTGTAGTAGTCCGAGGCTTGGTACCTCGGACCTGTCCTTACACCGAGGTTTTGTGCCTTTTGTTCTCGGCTCACCAACAGAGAAGAGCGAGCATCAAAACCCATGGCAATGAGAAGACATTTCTCATTCTGAGCAAAATCATGCACTGGCTTTGAATCCTTTCAATGAAATTTTTGACGATTTTGTAGCATGGTAAGAGAAGTGCTGCTGTATCATATTCTTTAATTATCTGTGTTATGTATCATATAGTTTATATCATTCAAGTGTTCACTTCTTTTGTTAATAGAAATTCGAGTATTTAATTTCTTTTCCCTTATGTGCCATTTGAATATATTTATCCACTTCTTTATGTATATAAAAAATATATATAATCAATTCATATTATACTTGGGGCATTTTCAATGAGGTCTTTGATTTTACCCTCATTAGGATTCCTTTGGACAAATGTGTTCCCAATGCATTTCATAATTTTTTGACAAATATTATGAACATAAAGATTTGGATTGAATAAAATATTAGGGTTTCAAACAATATAGGTAAGCATAAAATCATTTAAAGTTGTCTAAAATTATACACTATATTTTTGAAAATTTTATGATTATAATATTAGATGACATTATAAATTTATAAGTGTTATTATATAATTATTTTTTATTAAAAAATTACTCATAATTTATTTAATATTATCTTATAATTATAAATTTACAACCTTAAATAATATTATAATTATCTTGTCAAAAATAATATAATTAAAAATGAGGTTATCTTGACATTTGCCTTAAGGTTAAGAAACTTGTATTGTCAATGCTGATGCTCTAATCGTGGGACCTGGGTAGTACAAATTGCAAAATGAAGGGTGAAACTGTACCATGTTAGAAAGGCTAGGACCGAAGAAAGAATTTAACTCTTATAAACACTTCTGACAAACCCTAGTACCAATCTTTGCTCTCTATTTACTCCTAGTTCTCTCGAATATTTTCTCTATTCCAATTCAAATGAATCACTAACAATGTTAACCAAATCGCCAGCATCTTCATGGTCCTTACTCTTGAAATCAAAACTCAAATCCCCTAGAAAATTCTCACTCGTCTCTACTTTCCCACACTTTCTCACCTCCCAAACATCTAATTTGCCCATTTCACCAAATAACCGTGTCTCAAATTCTCCTCCTTTTGCTCCCCATGACACTTCTCGTCCTTCATTTCATCGGAAAATCTCAACTTTCGCTCATTTTTCCAGCAACCAGAGACCAAAATCCGCACTTCCTCCTAGAGCCCATTTCTCAACAGCATCTGCAGCTACTAACAATGTAGTTCGGGATCTTCTTGCGGAATTAGAGCGTGAAAAGCAGAGAGAAAGGGAGGCGAGGAAGAGGAAAGGCCTGGGGACTAAGGACATTGATGAGGAGGATGAAGAAGATTACATGGGTGTAATGCCATTGATAGAGAAATTTGAGAAAGAGAAGTGGAAGGATACTGAGGACTTGATGTTGATAGAAGAACCCACCGATTCCGACAGTGAAGAAGACGAGGAGGATAGAGATGCCGCAGAAAAGGCGTTTGAGATGTATGAGAGAAAGTGTAAGAGGCATGAGGAGTTGCTCAAAAACTTGACTGAGGCTGGTACACTTCAAACTCCTTTTTTTGGGGTTACATATAATGCGTGTATACGTTAGAACTATGGCATTTAGGAAGAGCTGTATGATGCTGTACTGTCAATCCATTTCTTAAAGCTTGATACATACGGGTTTGGATTGATGATACAACAACTATTGAGACTGGACATGTTCTATGCTTGCAAATATGTTTTTCTATCCTCATATAACAAACCAAACTGGTATTATTAAAAACTGCGTTTTATGTTTCTCTTTTGCGGAATGTTATCCGTATAAGCAAAGAGACAGTTTTTGTTCCAATTAAATGTTAGTTGGTTGGTATAGACAATTAGTTATGTTTTATTGTTTTTTCATTTTCCCACAAGAAACCTTTGCTGGTTTTTCATTGGCTTTGGTCTGTTAGGTTGCTTGTCAACTGTTTGTAAAAAAAATTGTCTAAATCTTCAATAAAAAGTCATTAGGTAATAAGAAACTAGTAGTCATTATTTGACTGCTTCTCCTAGAGGGTTATGTTAATTGTTATCATGCTTCTTCAGTTGCTGCAAGAATTATGGATAAATAAGGAAAGGAGAGTTAAGACTGTGAAATTCCCTCCTCCATACTTCCAGCTGGGCCAGCATTGGCTTCTCTTTTTTTCTTCTTTAAAATCTTAAAATGAGACGGTTTTTTCATTTCAACCAAAATGTCTTGTGCTGTGAGTGATAATTCGGTTTACTGTTAAGTGGCATGATGCAATGCCAAGTTTCTAAACTTTGCTGTTATATGGGAATTGTCTGATATTGAGACTCCTTATATTATTTGGAATTCCACATTTTCTTTTCTCTGCATTGCTTCCTAGTACCATGCTGATTTTATGTTATAATTTTAGGTTTACTTTAGACAAGGTTGGTGTAGTGTAGGTCATCCTCCTAAATTTTTTTTTTGGAAGACCTATCTAAAAACTCACTTTGTAATTAATAATTTCAAAAATCAACCACTGCATTAAATATTCTATTCATGTAGATCATACATGTCAATTTTCAAATTGATCTTAACATTTACAACCCTTTGATTGAAAAAAGGAGAAAAAAAAAAAAACTCTATTTATTGACATATTTTATGGTGTCAAATTTTGTGAAATTAACAAACTGGTGAGGTGTATTAGGTCAATGTGAAAATCGACATGTGTGCTCAACATGAGTAGAATTTTTAATACAACTCTTGGTTTTTAAAAATATTAATTAAAATGTGATGTTTTTGGAGATATCCTCTAGTGGACATCTTACGAAACACTTTTCTCTTTACTTTATTTAACTTTTCTTATTTTAAGCTTGAAAAAAATTAAAGAGTTGAATGCCTTAATAATTGACTTGATACATTTTGATAGTCATAGGCTGTTGATGAGAAACATTTATTATACTTTGACAGAGACACTTGATGAGGCTTTTCAGTGGATGAATAAAATTGACAAGTTTGAACAGAAACATTTTCAGCTCCGCCCTGAATACAGGGTCATTGGTGAGTTGATGAATCGACTTAAAGCGGCAGAAGGCAAGGACAAATTCATTCTTCAACAAAAATTAAATAGGGCTATGAGGATGGTAGATTGGAAGGAAGCCTATGATCCCAACAATCCTGCCAATTATGGAGTCATACAACGTGAACAAGTTGGTGCTTCTGAAGAAATTGGGGAACAAGCAGGAGATGAAGGAGAGAAGCCAATGATACAAGGAGATGCTGATGAGGATGAAGAAGAGTTTGATGACATGAAAGAGAAGGATGACATACTGTTAGAGAAGCTCAATGCTATCGACAAGGAACTTGAAGAGAAGCTGGCTCAATTGGATCATACATTTGGAAAGAAGGGAAAGCTTCTGGAGGAGGAGATCAGAGATCTAGCAGATGAGAGAAATGCTTTGACAGAGAGGAGAAAAAGACCTCTTTATAGGAAGGTAAGTGCATGCATTATTTTACTTGTTTTTTACAAGTTCCAGTGATCTATCAGTTACATAGCTTCATATCAGTTTTTTCCAGATTATAATTCAAAACTTTGTGAAACTAGCCATGTTAATTTGATAAACTTTGTTTCAGCAGCTTTTCCTGCTTTTTTCTCAGGTCCATTTTATTTTTATCTTCATTACTTGGTTATAGCATTGTAAAATCATGCCAGAAAATATTCTGAAGTGAAAAACTTAGTGCCATGTTTGTGTTGCCTTTTTTTTTGGCCAATTCTGTTGCCTGATCTCTGCTTGCATACCAATAAAACTCTGAATTATCATTTTTAAAATGATTGATTTGAAGCTATATATGAACAATCATTGGGAAGGATAGAAACTGAGATACTTGTCTTACAATTCAAACCTGGGAGTCTTAGAATGTTCTTGTTCTTGGGTAATTGATGCTTGAAGTCTCACCATTTTCTTTCTCGTTCTTCATTGAGACTGCTACCTTTCTAACTCACAAACAGTCAATTTAAATGCATGCTTTGTTTTTTTGAGCACTTGTATATCTGCATTGTTTGGTATTCTTCAATTAATGCACTTCAGGAATAAAGTTGGGTTTATTATTTCACACATCTTGAATTCATTGAAGTCTCAAAAAATTTTGGGAAGCCCAAGGAGTGAGATTCATTTTTGTGCATTATTTGAAGTGCTTGATCTGACCTTGGGCATTTAGGCTGTATTATCTGGTAAGGTCAGATATTTTTACATGGAAATATGTTATTTGCATGCTGAATGAGATCATGTGAAGAAAATTTTTAACATTTTCCTGATAATAGTCTACTTCTCTTGGCATGTTTGGCTTATTGCTATGAAGGCACATATATTCTCATTCTCAATCATAATTAACTTAATTCTTACTGTAAAATGGCAGGGTTTTGACGTGAGGTTGATAGATATGAATAGAACGTGTAAAGTGACTAAGGTATCATTGTGGCATCTAAGCTTTGTATGATTTTAGGGTTAGTTCTATGTAATTCTTGTTGATTTTGATGTGTTTCAGGGAGGCCAAGTGGTCAAGTACACAGCAATTTTAGCATGTGGGAATTATCACGGTGTTATTGGCTTTGCAAAAGCTAAGGGTCCAGCAGTTCCCATTGCCCTTCAGAAAGTAGGTGACACTTTTTATGCCAAATTATTGCTAGATTAATTATATATTTTAGTAATGCATAGTATCTGTTCCAAAAATTTTCAGAAACAAAATTTGAAAAGGTGTTGGAAAAATTCCAACACAATGAACATTCTGCCTAATCCCCTGTAAACGTTTTCATTTTTTACATTTTTATGTTTTTAGTTTAGCATGTCTGTGACCTGACCTCTACTTATTTAATCCACTAACAGGCATATGAGAAATGCTTTCAGAATCTCCACTATGTTGAACGACATGAGGAGCATACCATTGCACATGCAATTCAAACAACATATAAGGAGACTAAGGTGCTTAACTGTCTTCTTTGGTTGTTTCTGATCTCATTTTTCACTAAGTTCACTCCAAGCTGCATCCCATGCTTTTGTCCTTCTGAACTTTTACTCTGTTATAGGTGTATCTATGGCCTGCATCAACTACAACAGGTATGAAAGCAGGCAGAACTGTGCAAACCATTTTGCATTTAGCTGGCTTCAAGAATGTCAAGTCAAAGGTAATGGATTGCCTAACTGAGTGAATTTCACTTAGCAGTTTTTAAGAATCCTGAGCACACTAGTGTTGCAGCAGACCCTAGAATAGGCTAGTATGAAGTCTTCGACCAATGCTGTTTGGTAGAAGGTCCAAGGTCTACAGTCCACCCCTGAATCCTTGCCGGAATTTATACATGGAAAGATATACCTTAAAACCCGCTTGGAAGTGCAAAGGTTTATTCCAACGAAAAATGATCTAGGGACAACTTTTTTGCACTACTCTTTGGTATAATCTTACGTGTTATTTAAATAATCGGCTCTTTTTATTCATTTGGACCCGCGATATTGAGTGCATCCATCCATTTAATGGCATGTGAAAGTTGTATAAAAAGGTTGTTCCGGTATCACTTCCCTATTCCAATATGAGTTCCATGTCTGACAAGGTAGGTTTCTGGTCCTGAGTTTTCTTAGTCAGTTGTAAACCAATGAGTTTCTAGCCTTCCAAGTTGAGCACCGTATACTTGGTCAGCTATAACATTTCCAGTGCTTGATTTAGTTGACCTTAACCTTTTGTCTTAGGTTGTTGGCTCAAGGAATCCCCACAACACTGTTAAGGCTCTTTTCAAAGCTCTAAATGCAGTAAGTATCTCTATAATAAAATACAAGGGTCTTTATTGGTTTCTTTCTCACCCATATATCACTTTTATTACTATCTTCTTTTTCTTTTTTTCTTTTTTTTGTTCTCTCAGATTGAAACTCCAAAGGATGTCCAGGAGAAGTTTGGCCGGATTGTTGTCGAGAAATACCTTTTGTGAGAGGTTTGCTAAGGGATACAGCCCAACAACCCAACCAATGTTGATTTTGTATTTTCTTGAATCCAAATGAATTAAACATTTGGGTGAGAAAAGTGAAGATTTTGCTGTAGGATCCTACCTAGGATAGTCTTTTCACACCACCTTTCTTTTCTTTGCTGCATTGCATTCACACCACCTGTTCTTCTCTGCAGAAAGGATAGAATAGTCTTTTTCACCTTCAATTTGGAATAAGTTTTTGAAGAACATAGGGTGTGTTTGGTATTCGGAAACTTTCTCTACATTACTGAAGAAAGGTTAGGGGTATTTTAGTATTCACACACTTTAATATTATATCAAATAAAGAGTAAAGTCAGCATTTTTATTTTTATTTGTCCTAACATAATTTTTGATAAGGATCCTTCAAGATTTCCTATTCCTTGTGGGGGAATGGTCGTTGGAAGGAAGCAGTTGGCTTATAATAGGGAATAGGGACAAAGGGAAGAGATCTACTCCCACCATACTTGCAAAAATCCTGTACCGTGGTTGGCAGGGACAGGGATGGGGAAGCTCCTCTAGGCCTCTACTTTGCGATGCCCTCTGGCCATCCCTACTAGAAACCGCAGTGGGCGGTGATGGCTGTAATGAATGAGACTTAAAGGGGGTTGCTTGGTTCCTGGAAATTGCGTGTGAAAATGTTTCATTCTTGGATTATTAAATTTCACATTGTTTGGATATAAATTTAAATTAAAGGGCATGTGATGTGTAGCATACACCGTCGCAATCATATTGCCACAAAACGTGTTAATGTCATTAGCACTTAGGTAACATGACGTTGCCATTGACATGACAATTTAACTTAAATTTTTGGACAATATTGCCATTAACTCTGGAATCAAAGACCAAAGACCACTTTCCCCCAAATTACAAGTTGGAGTAGTAGTTTCTTGTACATACCCATTTAAGGTTGTGTTTGGTTTGGGGGAAGTTTGCTCCTCATTTAACTTGGAAATTGAAGAGAAATTTAGTAGTATTTACACATCTTAACACCAAAACAAATGATTTCAATCTATTCTTTTTTCATATTTTGATCTAGAAAACCTTTTCCCTTTATTTTTCTTATTGAGGCACTTAACAAATATTAGCTTTCAATATTAACATAAAAAAGATAGAGAAATTTAACAATCTCAATAAAACTTCAGTGCTACAAATGTCACAAATTTTATGTACAATATTTTTTTAACGAGTAAAGGTGCAAATAAGGATTCTAACTTTGCACTTTTTTCTATTTAAGGATGTTAACTTTGTCAGTTTCTAAATAAGGATGTCAACTTTCAATTT